GGCGCTGGAGCTGCGTGGCCTTGGGGGCCTGCGGAGCAGTCGCGCGGCCGGCTGCGGTGCGGGACGAAGTGGGAGGCTCCGGAGGCACGTGGGGAGCGCGGGAGGATGGAGCCGGAGAGAAGCCGGGCGCACGACGGGGACATCGCTGCTGAGGCGTCGGGATGGGGACAAGCCGCCCGGAGAGGCCGTGGGATCCGGAGGCAGAGGAGGCCGGGCTGCTCTGGAAGCCGTTCCCGGCAGATAGCCAGGACACGTCCCCAGCGGAGAGCCGGGACACCCTGGACACCGGGATGCTCCGGTCGCCGTCCCCACGGGGCAGAGGGGACCCTCCAGACGCTGTCCCCACCGGAGACACCGGACAGAGGCCAGGCCACCCGGAGTCGCTGTCCCAGGGGCTGGGGCTGCCACCGCCTCGTCCCTCCTCGCTGCCACCTCGTGCTCCCCAATGGGAGCAGTGAAGCCGAGCGGAGCTCTGGGCCGCATCCCGCTCCATGCCCGGCACGTCGGGAGCGGCGCCGGAGACGGCGGGGGGACAAGAAAGGGCTGACGCAGGAGGAAAAAAGGACAAAAAAAGAGAGCGAAAAAACCCACATATGGAAAAAAAAGAGAAGAAAACAAAAGCGCTTGGCGGAGAGGGAAACATTTTTTTTAAGAAAAAAAATATGAAAAAAGACAAAAAAAAGACAAAAAAGAACAAAATACACAGAAAAAAAAGACAAACTGCATGGTGCTTTAACAGGATCTCGTGACCTGGCTCGACCCATCAGTGATGGCTGATGCTGTGCATGGCAGACTGTATTAACCGTCCCCCCCGGCCCCTGCCCTATGGAAAGAGAGAGAAAACACAAAAAACGGACAAAAAAAAACACACAAAAAAGCTGTACAAAAGGAAAAAAAAAAGAAAAAAAACATGAAAACACAAGGAGAAAAGAAAAAAGAAAAAGAAAAATCCATGTTTTCCTAATTTGCACGAACGTTTTTTACCACATGATGTGCCTTGCCTTCGAAGACTCAAGTATTACCGGAATAGGGACAAAAAAAAATAAGGAAAACGGAACCGCGCCGGCCACCCCCCCCCCTCCCCCGTGTCACCGC